ATGTACCCATACCATAATAAAGGTCTGGTACAAAATGACGATACACGCATTCACAATCGTTATCTTCGTATTCCGTAGTCACTTGAGAGAAGAAGAATACAGCATTAAAATAAGCATTTTTCCAAGAGACAGATTCCATTCCTTTCTTCATTAGCTCCTCTACTGTATCAATATCCCCAATACACTCTCTCTCTACCTTTTTCTTATCGTGCAGTGGTAGCCTCTCATTAAATATGTACTCCCATATCTCATCCATTGATATACCAATAGTAACTGGAGTACCCTCTAACTTAGCCACATCTACTGCTGGTAACAGACACAGCAATCGAATACGAATAGAACGAGGAAGCAATCCCAAACAACTAACAGGAAGATACTTAGGCTTATTAGTATAAGGAGGCTCAGTCAAACTTGATGTGTCCTATGATATACAATAGACACTGTAACTGAAGAGACGCTGGGTGAGAAATCACTCCACGCCTGAGTCTTTCCCAGTAATATATAATCTCATTCTCAGCATCTGTAGTATCACCGTGCTCTGAACGAGGGGAGTCTTCTTCTTCTTCAATATCTGATTCTGAGTCAGGGGCCTCGGGCCTTTCCTCAAGATTGTCATCTGCCATCATTTGATTGAGTAGGATCATGGTTGCAATGAGCACGCCCAGTCGCCCACTCATCTGACCATAATTAGATTACAACTGTTGAGTGTATTGGATTATAAAATTATTTATGGTTATAAAACTTATAATCCTGGATTTAAAAATTCTTCCAAATTTTTTGGATTTTCCTGATTACCAAGGAGGTTCTATGAGACTACAAGCCCATTGCAAACCCCTTGTCATATTATTAAATAATAACATGATTCACCACTCAACAGTTTTAATTTAATTAATTTATTGTTATTACGTTATGCTGAAGCATGTATAATAAGATCATCTTCTTAAGCTCCTAGATTATATACTATTATATATGTGTTATATATAACACAACAATATGGGAGTTGATATCTTGAGACCGAGGATACTTTGAATTGATATCACCCAAGGGCCAAAGGCCCAAAAGTGATATCAATTCAAAGTACCTGAGGTGGAGGGTGTGTCAACCCATATTGGCGTTTTATATATGATAAATCTCATCTATGAATCTTATTAATGATAGGTGTGTGTGTGTATATATATATACATACATATATATAGATAGTGATTTATAATACAAGGGTATAGATCTATTTAATAGCTCTATCCCAACCTCCTTTCACTTACATAGTAATATAGGTGTAGGAAGCTATTGAAAAGTGGGGGGGGGGGGCAGGCACACAGTTGACAATGAAATTAAAATTGACTTGAATGACTTGGTGCATTATTATTATGAGGTGCTTATTGGCATACATGGTTTGAGCTGAAATGGAGTAATTTTCAAAGTAAAAGTGGGGGCAAAGCCCCGATGTCAATAAAAGTGGGGCAGCTGCCCCCCCTCCAATGCCCCTGAGTAAGAGAGAACAGTGGATTTATTGACAGCATGTGTATCTCAGTGTGAGAATTTGCAGCAATGTTTGGTTCACATAATACTTTTACAAAAATGAGAAAATAAGGAATTAGGAATGTGGAAAAAAATGAAGAAACAAAAATTATGGCATGTGAGGTCATAATGAAAAAAGAATGGCCAATAAGAGAAACACAATAACAATAACTTCTAGCAACCTAATAGTAACAATTATTATCAAATAACAATTGTACAATGACAATAATAAATGTACATGTTAGCAAGAGGACAAAATATCAAGAGTATCTATACCTTTGATAATATTAGTCTTGATGTTAGAGTACATGTACATGTGTGTGAATGTTAAATGATAAATGTTACCACACTAATAACGACTTTCTGCATACACTTCAATAGCCATTTCTAAAAGAACACTCATATATGATGGCTTACCAAACTTTCTTCTATCCAGTACATTGATTTTTTTAACTTTAACTGCTTTACAATGCTTCTCCCATAAGTCATATATAGCTTTAACAATTTCATCATTGAGTAAACGATAATTAAAAGTAAGTTCAAAGTGAGGGACATCAGCTGGTGAGAGAGAGGAGAAGATACTCTGAATCATAGAGAAAAAACTTAGAGTAGAAATGTCCCAATTCATTAAACCAAAATGACGTAAGAGATGAATTTTTTCAGATATGAGGCTAGTGAACAAGTCAATGACATCATCAAATACATTCATAATGATATTCCATTCCTGAGCACTGACAATACGAAACAATGAAGATATAGCAGATAAAGTTTCTTTGGTGAAATTTCCATGTTCTAATGAAAAACTTTTAACTTTAATAGATTCCAGACTTGCAAGTGAAGAGAGAATATCCGATTCAAAATACAACATTTTTAGAGAATTAAGAACTAAATTACGAGGAAGGAGAGAGGAGAAATGAGGAGAGAGAGTACAATTGGTTAGTTCCAATGACTTGTTAGATTCTTGCTCATGATTGACGATGAGTGGATCAGTGAGTGGTGGGAAATCAGGACACTCAAGGCGTAAGCTCAAGGTAACTGGGTTGGGTGAAGAAAAAAAATTACGAAACAGTTGGAGAAGAATATTAAAAGAAACTGGGAGTGCAATTTGGTGCGTTTCAAAAGCTAATTCTTTAAAGTCGGGTCTGAGAAGCAAATCAGCAATACATTGGGTAAGTTGACTGTCTTGTAACACAGCATTATTATATTGCATGGAAAAAGATAGCTTTCTAAGCTCCTGATGATGTTGCAGTATCTCAATTATCGAATGAGATATAGACTCGTTTAGAAATATAGGGAGAGACTTTTGAACTCGATGAAATGAACTTTGAAACAGAGGGACATTTGTTAATGGGAAAGGATTATGTGGTTGTTGGTTAGTAGGAAAAGCATCATGTGGAGATAAGTCAACTTTATCAAAGTTATAAGTATTATGATCATTGAATTCAATATCCAGCTCAAGCTGCTTCAAGCTATGTTGTGATGGATCTAATAGGTATGGGAATGCAATGCTAAACTCTGGTTCATCTAGCGATATGAATTTGATAGAACACTTACTCTGTATAAATATGATATCAATACCTTTTTTATAGATTGATGCATCATTTCACTGCAGCTATGGATCGTGATTGCCTCAACTGTCGTCAGCAACTTTATAAAATGATCAAGGAAATGTGTGCTCTCCAAATTGACGTCTTTGAAATGATAATGCGTTATATAGAGATGCTTTAAGGAAACATTGCAATCAGCCATTACCATGACAGCATCCCATAGTGACATGTAAAATTCGCAATCACGTCTTGGAGCATCAGCAGGACTTGGATACATATGTGTATACCTGTCTGGAGTGAGACGAGGACATCTATGTGCACAACGAGCTACACGATGAATACTGTAAGTGGAGTCTGTATTGAAGCATTGGTAGATATCGGTATTAGCTGGATCACTATTAAATGTACCCATGCCATAATAAAGGTCTGGTACGAAATGACGATACACACATCCACAATCTTCATCTTCATACTCTGACATGGTAGTTGCTTGAGAGAAGAAGAATACAGCATTAAAATAAGCATCTTTCCAAGTGACAGATTTCATTCCTTTTTCCATTAGCTCCTCTACTGTATCCATATCCCCAATATACTGTCTCTCTATCTTTTTCTTATCGTGCAGTGGTAGTCTCTCATTAAATATGTACTCCCATATCTCATCCATTGATATACCAATAGTAACTGGAGTACCCTCTAACTTAGCCACATCTACTGCTGGTAACAGACACAGCAAT